TTAGGGCTTTAGGGCTTTAGGGCTTTAGGGCTTAGGGTTTAGGGTTTAGGGTTTAGGGTTTAGGGTTTGGGGTTTAGGGTTTAGGGTTTAGGGTTTAGGGTTTAGGGTTTAGGTTTAGGGGGCGTTTGATGGATGTGTACATGGGCGTTTAGGGTGTACAGCAAAGGGAATATTGAGGTTTACGGTGGGTTCTGGGGTGTGATGTTTGCTTGAAGAGCTGAGCGGGCGCGGAGGGTGTAGCCGTTAGGGTTTAGGGCAAGTAGGTTGTCAAATTGGGGTTGGGGGGGGGGGGGTGTTGGGGGCTGAGTGGCTTTTTGGGTACCTTGTATCTCCCTTTATAACCTTTGAAGTGATCCTAACCCGGTGCGCCCTGCCCCCCCCCCCACCCTAAACCCTAAACCCTAAACCCTAAACCCTAAAGCCCACAACCATCATAGGCCCTGTAGGTCGAGGCTTGAGGCCCCACATCAACACAACCCAAGCCCGACTCAACATCCTGTGGAACACCCGCTCTTGAGCTGACTCGGCAGCGACAAAGGATGAGCCCATGGATGTTTGGGGTTTAGGGCTTGGAGGCTTTCGGCCTTTAGGGGTGAAGGGTTTAGGGTTCAGGGGTTAGTTTAGGGTTTCGGGTTTAGGGTTTAGGGGATAGGGTTCAGGGTTCAGGGTTCAGGGTTTAGGGTTTTAGGGTTTTAGGGTTTTAGGGTTTAGGGTTTAGGGTTTAGGGTTTAGGGTTTAGGGTTTAGGGTTTAGGGTTTAGGGTTTAGGGTTAGGGTTCAGGCTTCAGGCTTCAGGGTTGCCCTAGAACTGTGCCTCGGGGAAGGGGACGGAGTTCGCCCCCTCGTTGAAGCAGTTGGCGTGGAAGCGGTTCCTCATGGAGGCCGCCTCGTGCTCCCAGGCCACAAACACTAGAAGGGAGGGCCCTTATAATCCAAACCCCTAAACCCTAAACCCTAAACCCTATGGCTCAGGGCTGACAAAACTCCGCTTGCAGTGAGAGTGCAGCTGTTGGACGGCAAGGGTGCACAGGGTTTGAGGGGGTTTGGGCTCAGGGAGTTGTAGGGTTATGGGGCTTACGAGGCGTTTAGGGTTTAGGGTTTAGGGTTAGGGTTTAGGGTTTAGGGTTTAGGGTTTAGGGTTTAGGGTTTAGGGTTTAGGGTTTAGGGTCTAGGGTTTAGGGTTTTGGGTTTAGGGTTTGGGGTTTAGGGTTTACAAGGCTTAAGGCGCCTGCTTTAACAAACCCGCCTCGCGCACCCAGAAGCCTGGACGTGCGAAGCGGTGGAATCGCCCGAGCTCGGTCCTGCTAAAAGGCTCTTTTTTTGCAACAGGATTAGTTTTCATTTTTTTAGTCCAGTTTGTTGTTAAATAATCAACCATATTTTCCTTACTTTCTTAATATAAGGGAGCCCTTCGCACAGAGAATCCGGAGCCCTGGGGGCCCTAAACCCTAACTCTAAACCCTAAGCATTGGACCCTCAAAGTGGCCAAAAGCCGTGCAACCCTGGATCCAGTCCTTGCGATTTAGGGTTTAGGAGTTTAGGGTTCTGGGTTGTTAAGGGTGAGGAGGTGTAGGGCTTCTCTCGGCGGGCGCGGCGCTTAGAAAGCAATGAGAGTGCTGGAATGTCAGGTTCGGCTGCCCTGGGCCCTGAATACGCTAAAGCCCTAAAGCCTGAACCCTACACCCTGATCTTGTCTTCACGATCTGTGCTCAGTGCTCTCGGAGCCTCCGCAAACAGAGAGGTTCCCCCTGGGTTCGGGTAAGGATGTGGTCAACAGTCCGGGGAGTTACTGGGCTTAGGAGGTGTTGGGGTGAAGGGTGTAGGGTTTGCAGGGTTTACAGGGTTTACAGGGTTCATAGTTTTTTGTTTTTTCTGGGGTTTGGGGTTGAAGGGTTAGGGAATCAAGGGCCGACTTCTCGAAAAAGATTATCTGCCCTTAGCCGAAAAAATGGCCCCCTTCGGCGGTCCCCGTGGTCGCGCACATGGAGAGCACGGGCACCTTGGGATACTCCCGGCTTCGGGTTGCGGAGTTTAGGGTTGAGAGTTTTAGAGGGTTTAGGGTTTAGAGCTTTAGGGTTCAGGGTTTAGGGTTTCGGGGTTTGCAAGGTTTGGGGTTTGGAGGTGTTAAGCTTTGGGAGTTAGGGTTTAGGAATGTCGAGGCTTAGGGTTCAGAGAGTTTTGGAGTATGGGGGTGTAAGGGTTCAGTGTTTAGATTTTCGGGGGTTAAAGATTAGAGTTCGGCTTAAGGAAACCTCAAACCCGCATGAAGGGTACGACCGGTTGCGCTGTGCGCCAATGGCGGCTTCTTTTCAGGTCAACCATTGGCGGTGGTGAGCTTGTTGGGGTTAGGCCCTAAACCCTAAACCCTAAACCCTAAACCCTAAACCCTAAACCCTAAACCCTAAACCCTAAACCTTAAACCCTAAACCCTGAACCCTAAACCCTAAACCCTAAACCCCAAAAAGGCTAGGAGGGCACCCAGCCTGCGGGGTTTCAGGGTCTGGGTTGGGAGCTTGTTGAGGTTGAGGGTCCAGTCCAGGGTTTACACGGGGGGACGGGGGGGGGGGGGGGTGTGGCTTTAGGGTTTAGGAAACAAGCAGAACTTCCTGAACCCCCCCCCCCCCCCAAGCCAACCCAAAACCCCTGAACCCGAAACCCTCAACCCCTGTACAATCTCAAACTTGCAAGGGTCCGGGGAAGCTTAAAGAAGTCTTGGGGAGTAGTGGGGAGCATCAGGGAACCTTAGGTTACACACCCCTGCTTGAACCCCCCCTAAACCCTAAACCCTATTCCCTCTACCCTAAACCTTTAAAAAACTCTTCAACTCACAGGAGGGCGGGGGGGGGGGGGGGGGGGTGGGGCCTCGATGATCTCGTCTTCACCATCGCGGCCGTCCTCCGGAGCTTCTGAACTTGGACCCTCGACAGCCCTAAAAGTGAAACTTGAAGAATGTTGCAGCCAGTACGCTGTCGGTTCTTCGGTTCTTGCTATCACTTTGAACACTCGATGAAGTGAAGAGCGGCCTGCCCCAGAGAAACCCCAGTGTCACTGCGAGGCATCATCCACTGAAGGCGTGTTGCATCAAGCGGCGAAAAGCAGAGTCGCGCATGAGGCCGGAAGGGTTTTTTGGTGCCCCTAGGCTGCGTTGTTGCTTCCCCGTCCACTTCTTGTTTGACACTGAACCCCAAGCCCCAAACCCCAAACCCCAGTCCCCAAAGCCCATAAACCCTAAACCCCAAACCCCCAAACCCCCAAACCCCCAAACCCCCAAACCCCCAAACCCCCAAACCCTAAACCCCAAACCCTGAAACCGCGATTGATGAGGGTTTGACTTTGGAGTTTGCAGTGAAGGCGTCAGGCACTAGGGCTGGCCAGGGAGGTTTGGACTTCCCAAGAACCTCGAGCCCAAGAAACCCTTATGAAGGCCGGCTCCCTCTTAGGGTTTAGGGTTTAGGGTTATGGCTTAGGGTTTAAGGTTAGGGTTTAGGGTTTAAGGTTAGGGTTTAGGGTTTCGGGTTTAGGGTTTAGGGACAAACCCCCCCCCCTCCCCCCCGAAATCCCGGTGGCCTGGTTACCACCGCCTTCCAAGTCGAGGACAAGCAGAATCGGCCTGCCAGCACTCCGCACGCCCCCCCCCCCCCCCCCAACCTGAAACATATGGGTTTAGGGTTCATTCAGGGTTTGTAGAGTGTTTATTATGTATGAGGTTTATCTATATATATATATATCATTTTACATATATATATATATATATATATATGTAGGGTTTATATAGGGTTTCGGGTTTTTAGGCTTTAGGGTTTAGGGTTTAGAGTTTGGGGTTCGGGCTTAGGGTTTCAAAAGGAGACAGGGAAGACATTGGAGCTTTCATAGGGGGAGCTGTCGCCTCAGAAGCTGGGACTCTACGGCCCCTAAAGAGGCTAGCAATTGCAACCCTCAGCCCTCGGGTTTCGGGTTTCGGGTTTAGGGTTTCGGGTTTAGGGTTTAGGGTTTAGGGTTTAGGGTTTAGGGTTAGACAACATGCCCCCCCCCCTCTGAAACTACAAAACAACCTCAAATGTCCCAGCCCCTTGAGCACAACATCTATTCCTCCACTGCCTTCCCCCCGCTCCTTCTTCGGGTCCAATCACTGACCCTTTGATACCCGAAGCCCTCGACCCTAAACCCTGCACTTTTGAGGGGGGTGAAAGCTTACCAACTCCGGAGACCGACACCCTCGTGGCCTCTGCGCCACCTCAACAGACTCGGACGGACCGGCTCCGATCCAGTCCGCCTCGTCTTCAAGATTCGTCTTCGACACTTATAGGGTTTAGGCAGTTTGGGGTTTAGGGTTTAGGGTTTCTGAGGACTTTGGCTTCAGGCTTCAACTTTTTGTTGAGGTTCATGGTGAACCCTCCGCTTGAGATCGAGTCAGACGGAGAAGCCGGCTCTCCATTCCAAAACCCCAAAACCCAAAACCCAAAACCCTCATCCCTAAACCCAAAGCCGTAAATCCTAAACCCTAAACCCTATAAACCCCAAACCCCAAAACCCAAAACCCTAAACCAAATCCGCAGAATTTGGGGACTCAGGAACTCCGTAGACCCAAGGTGCTGGGGAGCTAATCGAGCCTTGCTAGTTTGGGCTGTAGGGAAAAGGGGGAGCTATTTCGGATCCGACGATGCAAGATGGCAGATATTGCTTCGTACAAGTATCGAAATCTCCACAGAAAAAACTCCTCCCAAAGACTCATACTTGTAAGGGACCAAATATGCACTCACAAGTAATAATGGCATGATATGAAGTGATGACGAGTATCCACCCCAAAAAAGGATCCACACACCAAAATTCACGGAAAACCATACTGAATGCCTTATCTCACATAGACCCTTAACCAACTAAACTCTTAGGTTTTATTCAACCTACCGCAGGAGCCCAGTACCTGTGTTGTTCGGGCTATGAGGTCTTGCCACAGGGGGAGGCATACCGCATGATCAGTTGAGGTCACAGCATTGCGCTGCCTCAAGCGGAAGCAGGTTGGCCACTCCTAGCAGGTTGGAGCCAATCTGTTGGCAGCACGGCAAACTCATAGTACCCGCCGCAATGGCTCTCCGCTACCGTATACGTTGCGTTCACACCAGGTGATGTGGAGGGAAATCCCGCGCAATGAGATTGCAAGACCTTGGCGTCGCGCCCGGCTGGTTCCAGCACCACCGCGACGTGCCCTTGATCCTCCACACTTCGATATTTCCTCAAGAGCAGAGTCCCACGGGGGTAGATCGTCTCTAGGTCAAAGGACTGCCACACTGAGGCGTAAACAGCGCCATATGCTCCAGTGCCTCCACAGCCATTGTCTTTGTGGGAAGGAAGCGGCTGCCCCACTGATCGCAGCATCAGGTTCGTGAGGCCAGCGCAGTTGCACGACTCCACCATCTCAGGAGCAGGGGCTGGGCCATCCTCAGCCCACATCGGGGCTTTCTTGGGGATGTCACCACCTCTCCACCAGCCATACGGAACTCCCGAGAGCTTGAGGGCGTACTCAATCGCGGCCTCGACGGGCTCTGCTGGCTGCGCCGCAGTGGTCATGAGCTCAGAAGTGAAGTTCCTCTCAAGCTCCGGCTGCCTCTACAAACATGGCCCGCCAGGAGCTAAGGGTTAGGGCTTTGGGTTTCGGGTTAACAGGTCCTGGGAAACGCAGTTGTGCAAGGATGGGTGAGAGCTTTACTCGCGAAACAGGGCTTGGGCAACACAACAAGGATCCCTATATCTCACTCAGCGCCAAATCCGACGATAGGGAGCTCGGCACGGGTGAAACTAACTCGAACACAGAAACGACAGGTATCTTCCCGAATTCATTGGTGCTGGGCTGGTTGGGTACCTGATACCTTGGGCCGCATGCAGGTGTGCGAGCCCGAAACCCTAAAGCCTAAACCCCAAACCCCAAACCCCAAACCCTAAACCCTAAACCCCAAACCCCAAACCCTAAACCCTAAACCCCAAACCCCAAACCCCAAACCCTAAACCCCTCATGTTCTGAGCCACCTCAGCTTTGAGAGCGGCCTCGGAGCTGTGCAGCCTTGGTCGCCGGGGACACTTTTGCCAGGTTTGGGTTGCTGTTTTGGTAGTTTGGCACAGGTTTAGGGTTTGGGGTTTAGGGTTTAGGGTTTAGGGCTTAGGGTTTAGGGTTTAGGGTTGAGGGTTGAGGGTTTGGGGCTTCGGTCGAACTTTCCGGGCATTTTGAATGTGTTGTAGAACCAGGAAGTAGATCGAACAAAGTCCACGAAACTTTTCCAGGACCCAAAGGAGAAAAGAGGGGTGGTGGGAGGCGAAACGAGGGTCTGCAAGTGAACCCTAAACCCTAAACCCTAGACCCTACACCCAAACCCCTAAACCCTAACCCTGAAGAATGTAGTGAATGAGTGTACGAAGTGAACGCCCTTTTTAATTATAATTTCGTGCATTCCTGTATTTCGTTCGCGTATTTCTTTCACACGTCTTTTCATTTCTTATTTACTGCTTTCGCTTATAAGACAAGAACGAAGATACGAATGAATTTAGTGCGGCCGCCAGAATAATTATACGGCCGGGAATTTATTTTTCAATTGACTTTTTATTGGATTTCTGGTTCACGAAGTGCATGAGTTTATGCGTTTGGTTTTTACCCCGCGATCGTATTATTATTAACCGGGCGTGTACTTACAATATAATATTATCGCCCGGGAGTGAATAAAATAAGATGTACACGGGCCAATAGTAAACCCTGAACCCTGAACCCTAAACCCTAAACGCTAGACCCTAGACCCTAAAACCTAAACCCTAAAGGCCCTAAACCCTGTCGAGCCGACACCCTCACTGCGGTGGTATCGGGCCCAGGGACCCATTCCGGCAGGCGCCTGATTCGTCTGCACGGTTGCGGCAGAAACCAGCCGCATACCTTGTTGGGCTTTGTGGGCCCTAAACCATAAACCCTGAACCCTGAACCCTAAACCCTGAACCTTCAAACCCTAAACCCTAAACCCTAAACGGGCCCCAGGAAGTAGCTCAACCGTGTGGGTTTAGGGCTTCAGGTTTTGGGGTTTACAGGTTTAGGGGTAAGGGTTTAGGGTGGCATGCCAAAAGCCTACAGAGCCCACATGCAGTGCAAATCGGCGAACTCCCAGAATGCGGAAACCGAAGCCCTAATCTAAGCCCCGACCCGAAAGCCAAGCCCCAAAACCCCAAAGCCAAGCCAACCAATCGCCCTAAACTTTCAACAGCTCTAAACCTTAAACCGTAAAATGTTGAACCCCTAAGCCAAACCCCCCCCCCCCCCCCCCCCCCCCCCCCCCCCCAAAACCTAAACCATAGACTGTTGAAACCTCCCAAGCCCCGAACCCTGAACCCTAACCCCGAGACCCTAAACCGAACTCAAACAATGGAGTCAGCCCTTGAAAGCAACATTTGCCAGAGCTGCCACTTGCAGATTCCGGTCTGGAAACCGGCGCCTTGGAATCCAAAACACAAAGGGTTTGGGGTTTAGGGTTTAGGGTTTAGGGTTTAGGGTTTAGGGTTGAGGGTTGATACAGGGTTTCGGGTTTAGAGTTAAGGTTTGCTGCAGTGTTGAGGGCTTAGGGTTACTGCGGGTTGCTCGCAGGGCTTGGCTGCACAGCAAGATGCCGAGAAGTCCTGCACGTCCCGTCTTACTGCACCTATTTGTGGCTCGCCAACGATAACCTTCGAAGCCCCACATCCTTGCACGACCCACATACAGAATCGCGGTAGGTCCGTTTGAAGCTGTGTCGATTTTTTGTCGGGCCTAATCGTTTTGTATGTGTGTGTAGATGTATATAGACCCTAAACCCCGCTTTTTCTTCTACCCTAAAACCCCAAACCGCGAACACCCCGAACCCCCTGGACACGCACACAAAACACCCTAAATACCCCCAGCCAAAAAACCCAAAAAGAAACTGCCCATCGTTGCAGCAGCCGTTGCTGCGAAGAAATGCTCTGAAAGACGTGTCTAAAGAGGCCTCTGAAGTCAGAACCATGTGAGTGAGGTAGGTTAGCGTTTGGCGTTTGCCGCTTTGCGTTTGTCGTTTGGCGCTTGGTGTTTAAGCTTTAGGGGTTTCGGGCTTATCGTTTGGGGTTTGAGGCTTAGGGATTGTAGGGTTCTTGGGGTCTTTTGGGGTTTTTGAGGGGGTTTATGACGGTTTTATGAGGGGTTTTAGGGCTTTTGGGGTTGAGGGGGGGACCCCCTAGACCCTAAACCCTAAACCCCAAACCCTAAACCCAATTGATCTAAGCAGCGGCCGCCCGCGCCCTGCGAGATCAAATCTGATGCCAGGTTGGTTGGCGTGCCCTTGCCTCGGCGTGGTTTAGGGTTTAGGGCTTAGGCTTTAGGCTTTAGGCTTTAGGGTTTAGGGTTTAGGGTTAGGGTTTAGGGTTTAGGATTTAGGGTTTAGGGTTTAGGGGGTGCTTGGCACCGCAGAGGTCACCTCCTATTCAGGGCTTAGAACCCTAGAAGCCTAGAACCCTAGAACCCCAGAACACCAGAACCCTAAATCAATACCCTTAAACCCTAAACCCGGATTGGGTTTCGGGTTTTAGGCTTTCAGGGATCTGGGACTTACCCATACCCTTCTTGGGGAGAAGGCCGCATCATCTTGGACCCCTAAACCCTAAACCCTGAACCTTCACCAAATCTTAAACCCTAAACCCTAAACCCCAAACCCTAAACCTAAACCCGAAGAACCCTACACCCTGAAGCTCTTGCCGACTCGTAAGGATCCCGCGCTGGCCCTTTCCTTTGCCCTTGCCGCGCCGCCCCTGGCAGCAAAGATATGGGAGGGGAGGGGAGGGTTTAGAGTTTAGGGTTTAGGGTTTAGGGTGTATGGTTTAGGGTTTAGGGTTTGGGGTTTAGGGTTGAGGGTTTAGGGTTTAGGGTTTAGGGTTAGGGCTTCGGGTATAGGGTATAGGGTTTAGGGTATAGGGTTTAGGGTTCAGGGTTCAGGGTTCAGGGTTTAGGGTTTAGGGTGGCTTTACAGGCGTCGTAGGGTTCAGGGCGCAGGGTTTGTCAGCATAAAGGGTTCACAGGGTTTATGGGGATTTATAGGATTTATAGGGTTTGAGACTGAACCCACATAGTCATCACAAGCAAGACGAGCCACTTTTGATTTGAGACAGCCCTAGTTTGCCGTGCTCAAAGTCGAAGGGTCCCTCTACACAGGGGTCCAAGGACACCATGCAGACAGCACGTTTTAAGGCCTAAGCATAGATATTTCTCTGGTTACAGGGTTTTTGGCGCACATAGAACTTTAAAACCTTTTCCAAGTCAACCCCCAGCATTTAGCTTCCGAAACTTGCGCCATCCCTGCCCGAGCTGCTCTTGAGGGGCGCCGCCCTCGCCCCCCCAAACCGCTGGAATCCGAAACTCCACTTTAAGCTTTAAAAGCCCCAGGCCGATGCCTCCAAGCCCTAGCAGACCTTAACCCTAAAAGCCCCCAAAATCCTGAAAGCCTTCGAAGTAAGCCCTAAAACCTAAATCCCAAAAACCCCTTCAACGGCCTCTCTTAAACCCGAACAGCCTGCCCTAAACCCTAAACCCTAAACCCTAAACCCTAAACCCTAAACCCTAAACCCTAAACCAGGTGCCTGATTGTTTTGGCTATCGGCGATGGTTTGCTGTAGCAACTCCTTGGCCTTCCACGGGCAGAGACCCTCGGGGCTCTTCGTACCCAGGGTTTAGGGTTTGGGGTTCAGGGTTTAGGGTTTAGGGTTTAGGGTTTAGGGTTTAGGGTTTAGGGTTTAGGGTTTAGGGTTTAGGGTTTAGGGTTTGGGGTCTAAGTCTCCAGACCCTCGAAACACTCAGCCCCAAAGCCCTTTTTCGTTTAACTCCCTAAATCCACTTGACTGCCCGCAAAACGATACCCCCCAAGCCCAGAGCCTGAACCCTAACCCATACAGCCCTAAAACCGTAAAACCCTAGACTACTAAAACCCGAAGACGTCCCGTGCGCCGGAAGACACACACACACACACACACCCAATGCAGACTGGAACGTGGCTGGATCGTTGCTGAAGATGGACGACCACTACGCTTGAGGGCAGCTATGTGCCAGCAACCTTGAACAGTGAGCGCCCCTGCAGCTGCGCTGCGCCGAAGCCCTCGACACCCGAAGACCCGTCCGTTTGCGGCAATTCTCGGCCCTTCTTGCGTCGCTAGAGATCCCTCGAAAGTTGTTTGTCGTACTCTTCTGGGTTATTTTTGGGGTCGGATGCACGTACGTTTTCGGGTTTAGGGTTTAGGATGTTGCCCAAACTTCGGCCGCGCCTTAGCCACGGCTTCCTCAGTCCCGCTGATGAGGCATTTGCGCGACAAGGTGAGGGACAGAAATCCTCGGGTGATAGAGGAAGCTGCTGGCAAACTTGCCCCTGAGCCCTACACCCTCAGCCCTGAACCCTGAATCCTAAACCTTGAACCCTAAACCCTGCTTCAGGGTTTGAAGAAAGCTCTGTGGTGTGTCCACTGGGTAAAGGCAGCTGGTGGCAACAGTGGATCTGCATGTTCCCTCGCCTGCGTCGGATGTGGGGTGCATTTAGCAAAAGCCA